GGACTGGGGAGGGGGGAGCAGAGCCCAGCCTCGGCACGGTGGCACGGTGCCCGGTGCCAGGGTGCAGCAGTGCCCCGGACCTGGCAGGACAGGGAGCCATCCCTCTCCACGATGCACTCGGCTTTCTCGTGGCACGGGCTGATCTCGCCGTTGGGGCAGCGCCGCGTCCCCGGGGCCGTCTGGCTCCGGCAGCCGCTGATCTGATCCCCCACAAAGCCCGGCTTGCACGGCCCGCACTTGTAGGATCCCTGCGGGAAAAGGGCGAGGAGGAGCTCGGAGGGGAATCCCGGGAAATGCCTCCCGCAGCCCCTCCTCGGGACGCCTCCCCCTGTCCCGGGGTCTGGCCTGGGAGACTGCCAGGGATCCAGGGGCTCTGGGAATCCCATCCCATCCCATCCCATCCCATCCCATCCCATCCCATCCCATCCCATCCCATCCCATCCCATCCCGTCCCGTCCCAGGGAACAATTCCCCATTCCCAATCTCCCATCCATCCATCCATCCCTCTGGCAGTGGGAGCCATTCCCTGTGTCCTATCCCTCCCTGCATTGTCCCCAGTCCCTCTGCAGCTCTCCTGGAGCCCCTTCAGGCTCTGGAAGCTCTCCCTGGAGCTGCTCCTCTCATTTGAACCCCCCCAGCTCTCCCAGCTCTCCCAGCCCGGGATCCTCCCCTATCCCTGCGGATTTACCCGAGTGTTGATGCAGATGGAGTTTGGGACACAATTGGTGGCAGCTCCAGTCTCACACTCGTTGATGTCGGTGCACACCTGCCCAGGGAGAACAGGAGAACAGGACACACCTTTGGCTTCCCTCCAGCCAAACCCCGGGACCTGGGCGGGCCCAGCAGCAGCAGAGCCCTGGCACACCTCACTAGCCCAGGACTAGCAAGTTTTCCTGCTGCCAGGCTTGAGGCAGGTCCCAGCAGGGTTCCAGAGCCCTGTCCAGAGTCAGCAGAGGTTCCAGCCTGGGAACAGAGCTGAGCCCCGAGCCGAGCTGCTGGAATATCCTCACTGTGGAAGGGGCTCCGTGGATTTGGAAGCTCAATGGCTGCATCCCACGACCAGCCCTAAATTCCCAGAGCCGCATGCGGGATAATTATCCCTAAAAACCCCAATCAGCCCAGGCTGTTGGGATTTTTAATCTGCCTGGAGCTGTCAGAGAAGCTGGGAGGGGGTGGCAGCAGCTGCAGGAACTCGTCTGTGTCCCAGCAGGAAGGATTCCCATTCCCGTTCCTGTTCCCATTCCCATTCTCATTCCCACTCCCATCCCCAGGACGGCCCCACGGCCCCAGAGGTGTTGGGATGCTCTGCCCAGCCCCAGTTTGGCACTGGGGAGGTGCCTCTGGGGCTCAGGTGCCAGGACATCCTGGGCACTCTCCTCTCCCTGCATTCCCACCAATACACGGAATCACAGAATCCCAAAGCGGTTTGGGTGGGGAGGGACCTTTACTCATCCCACCCCCAGGGACACCTTCCACAAGCCCAGGCTGCTCCAAGCTGGCCTGGGACACTTCCAGGGGTGGGAATTCCCTGCCAGCCCTCCCTTTCCATCCCTCAGGAATCCCTTCCGCCGTTAGGAACCATCACCTCGCGCTTCCCTCCCGTTCCTTCGCAGGCCTTGGAGCCCCGGCTGCAGAGGGGAGAGGATTCCCAGCTCCTGAGGCCACGGAAGGTTCCAGGCTCTCACCTGCTTGTTGGCCCTGGCAAAGGCCAGGCCCACCCCTTCCAGCAGCTGCCCGGTGAAGCCGGGCGGGCAGGGGTCGCAGCGGAAGCCGGGGTTGGTGTTAATGCACTGGACTTTCGGGAAGCAGGGGTTGGCATTGCACTGAAACAAGAGAGAGGGTGCCCGGGGCTGTGCCAGGGGGCAGCTCCAGCCCCGGGCACGTCCAGCTCTTGGAGTTTTAGCCTGGAGGCAGGTCAAGGACAGCAGCTCCTCCGGGGCTCCCCCAGCTCGGCTGGCCCCTGGGCTGCAGTACAGCAAAGCCACCTGGAGCTCTGAGCGTCCTCAGGTGGCCCCAGAGCTCTGCAGGGAGCTGCTCTTGCTTCACCTTCTCCTTCCCGGAATCCGCAGAGCCCGGGGGTTGGATAATTCCTCACCCTGGCCTCGGAACACAACACCGGTTGTTGGTTCACCACCCTTTCCAAAATCGCCCCAAATGCTTGGCTTCCTCCAGCACTTCATCCTTTTCCCTGGGTTTTTATGCTCTGTGCTGGCAGATGCACCACAGGAACACAGTGGATCCCGTATTTTGGACTGACAATCCCAGAATCTCCCACGGGGCCTTCAGCAGGTTTTTAAATTGAAATGCAATTGAGGTTCTGCAAGAGCGGGATAATCAAGTTTGTGGTTTGGGAAGCACAGAGCTCAGGAGCCCTACAAAAAAATCCACGGATGAGCAGAGCTTTGCACACACACAGAGCTTAGAATTGGTGGAATGCCACATTTCCTAAAAAAAGATAAATTTTCCTACAAATAATGCACGGTATCTGCCCAGCAAGGATTGATTTAGGGGCAGGAACAAAGCCTGTGGTTAAGATTTGCTGTTTCAGGATTATCTGGGAACTGTTTGATCCCACTCCACACCTCATCAATCTTATCTCTGACAAATCCTCAGGGAGGCGGCTCTGGTTCCAAACTCCCCTCCCTGTGTGGCACAAACCTCAGGATTTATTTTGTTGGGAGAAATCCTGACTGGACTGGCCCTAAACCCTCCCTGGGGAGGGCCAGGCGCAGGATTCCAGAGTGCAGGAATCCTGGAGTGTGCCAGGCACAGAATTCCAGAGTGCAGGAATCCTGGTGTGTGCCAGGCACAGAATTCCAGAGTGCAGGAATGTGCCAAGCACAGAATTCCAGAGTGCAGGGATCCTGGAGTGTGCCAGGCACAGAACTCCAGAGTGCAGGAATGTGCCAGGCTCAGAATTCCAGAGTGCAGGAACCCTGGTGTGTGCCAGGCACAGAACTCCAGAGTGCAGGAATCCTGGTGTGTGCCAGGCACAGAATTCCAGAGTGCAGGAATGTGCCAAGCACAGAATTCCAGAGTGCAGGAACGTGCCAGGCACAGAATTCCAGAGTGCAGGAATCCTGGTGTGTGCCAGGCACAGAATTCCAGAGTGCAGGAATCCTGGTGTGTGCCAGGCACAGAGCTGCAGCTCCAGCAGGCACTGAGGGCTGTCCCTGCCCCCGAGGCCAACGCCAAGGCAGTGCCAGGGCGATGCCCCGGCAATGCCAAGGCCAATGATACCCAGGCAATGCCCCGGCGATGCCAAGGTCGATGCCAAGGCAGTGCCATGGTGACGCCAAGGCCGATGATGCCCAGGCGATGCCCTGGCAATGCCAAAGCCAATGCCAAGGCAGTGCCATGGTGACGCCAAGGCTGATGATGCCCAGGCGATGCCCCGGCGATGCCAAAGCCAATGCCATGGTGACGCCAAGGCTGATGATGCCCCGGTGATGCCAAAGCCAATGCCGAGGCAGTGCCATGGTGACGCCAAGGCCGATGATGCCCCGGTGATGCCCAGGCTGATGCCAAGGCCAATGCCAAGGCAGTGCCATGGTGACGCCAAGGCTGATGATGCCCAGGCGATGCCCCGGCGATGCCAAAGGCAATGCCAAGGCAGTGCCATGGTG